CTCCCGCAGAGCCCGCCCCTTTGCGCCTTGCCTGCCAATGGCGGCGGGCGGGCGGGGCCTAGCGGGCCGCCCATTTAGCTCAGGCTCCGAAAGGGAGGGGGGGTCCTTCCTTTTTGCGTGCGTCGAGCTGTGCTGACGGCGTCTTCTTTGCCGGGCCTCTTCCCCGCCGCCAGTTCGACGCTACAATGGCAGACCAGGCGCTGTCCTTCGCCAAGGACTTCCTAGCCGGCGGCGTGGCTGCGGCCATCAGCAAGACGGCGGTGGCGCCGATCGAGCGAGTCAAGCTGCTGCTCCAGGTCGGGCGCGATATCCGCAGGCTTATTAACAAGCTGGGGAGGTGGCGGGGCTGAAGGGGCGGCTGGGCTGTGGCGATGCGATTGTCCTTGTCTGGGAATTGAAGGTGGGGGAGGGTCCCCTTCTGCAGCAAGGGCGATGCGGCGTGAGGACGCTCGCGCGCCTCCCTCCCACTGCTCGCTAAAACGCCGGTCATGTGGGCGGTGCGAGGGCCAGCTGTGAGCCCGGGTCCGTTCTAGAACGTCTGTGTGTCCGGGGGGGGGAGGGGTGATGGGAGGAGAAGAAAGCGAGGGTCGGTTGGGCTGCGCGTGCCCCCCCCCCGCTCGCGCGTGCGTTTAGTGCGTTCTTCTCTCCTCTCATCCCGTCTCCTTTTTACTATGGGAGGGAGGGGGGGAGGGAGGCAGCCGCCATCTTCCTCAGCGGCAGACGTTATGGCCAATTGTCAGTCACGAAAGGAAGGGGGCTTGTCTGGGAACTGGAGCTCTGTACGTCGGATTGGTAGGCTCCGCCTACAGGAGAGGCGGCCGCTTGACAGACTCCCCGCCTCCATCCGTAGGACTTAACTGTCAGTCTCCTCCGCCCCTCCCCCCGAGTGCGGGGGGGGGAGTGACGTCGCCTGTGCAGCAGTTTGGACCCGGAGGCGTCTCCTTAGGAATGGGGGTGGGGTGTTCTCGGCCAGGCGTTGTGAGAATAGTGGCTGAAGGTCTGTTGTGGCTGGAAGGCCTCTGGCTGTTAACAAACCAAGGCTGCAGTTAAAGGTAAAGGTTCCCTGGCTTGAAAGCCAGTCGAATCCGACTCTAGGGTTGAGGTGCTCATCTCCGTTTCAAAGCCGAAGAGCCAGCGCTGTCCGAAGATGTTTCCGTGGTCATGTGGCCGGCATGACTAAACACCAAGGCGCACGGAACGCTGTTTCCTTCCCACCGAAGTGGTACCTATTGATCTACTTGCAATTTCTTGCTTTCGAACTGCTAGGTTGGCAGGAGCTGGAACTAGAGACGGGGACTCACTCTGCCATATGGCAACTCGGGTCTTGAACTGCTGAACTACCGACCTTCCACTGCCTGCAGTTCAGCGTCTTAACCACTTGAGCCAACACAGCTCCAAAGGCTGCAGTTACACACACTAAATAATCCACTTTCAGCGCACTTTCCAACTGGATTTTGCCAGCTCACACAGTACAGTACAGTACAGTTGGACATTGCATTGAAAGTGGATTATTTAGTGTCTGTTGACTGCATACATTTCCTCTACACTGCCTGTGAAAGGTGTAAGTTGCTTTGCTGCCTGCCTGCTGGGAAGAAGGTGGTTCAGCTTTCAGTCATTGTGTATATTTTTCTAAAGGTTCGCTCTTGTAATGAAGTCTTTCAGAATGTACATCCATGTTTGAAAATGCAACTAGTCAGTACTGCTTCTGAATATTATTGGAATCTGTACCCCCCATATTCAGAGTAATCATGAAAGCCTCATTTCTTACAGGTACAACATGCAAGTCAACAGATTGCTGCTGATAAACAGTACAAAGGAATCATTGATTGTGTAGTTCGCATTCCGAAAGAGCAAGGGGTATTATCCTTTTGGCGTGGAAACTTGGCCAATGTCATCAGATACTTCCCCACTCAGGCACTCAACTTTGCCTTCAAGGATAAGTATAAGCAAGTGTTCTTGGGAGGAGTAGACAAACACACACAGTTCTGGAGGTATTTTGCTGGCAATCTGGCTTCTGGAGGTGCAGCTGGAGCTACATCTCTCTGCTTTGTCTACCCACTGGATTTTGCAAGAACCCGTCTGGCTGCTGATGTTGGAAAGGCTGGTGCTGAAAGAGAATTCAGCGGCTTGAGCAATTGTCTAGTGAAAATTTTCAAGTCTGATGGCCTACGTGGTTTATATCAAGGGTTCAATGTCTCTGTCCAAGGTATAATCATCTACAGGGCTTCCTACTTTGGAGTTTATGACACAGCTAAAGGTAAATTTATTTCTTTAAAAATGTTTATGCTTTTTTCCCAAACAATACAAGATCTCAAGGAGACAAACATTCCATAATGTTGAAAACAGTGTTTAAAATACAAATATATATAAATTATTTAAAACAAAACATAAACACATATTTACTTATTTAAAATATTAGCCACCTTTTTCCTTATGGAACTCAAGGTGTCTTGCAGTATTAATAAAATAGATTACTTTAAAAAAACATAAAACCACAGTTTAGGACTACTTTAATCCAATGCAGTCCAAAAAAAACCCCCAAAACCTGGCTTCAGCTGCCTCCCGAAGATTGAAAGTGAAAGGGTCAGGCATACCTCCCTGGGGAGACTGTTCACTAATCATGAAGCTGCCACTGAAAAGGCCCTCGCTTGTGTACCCATCAAATGAACTTTGATGGGGCAGCAGGAGGGCATCTCCCTGTAAATCCTTGGGCAGGAATATATGGGAGAAGATGGTCCTTCAGATACCCTAGTCCCAAGTCATGTAGGACTTTAAACTTCAAAAACCCAGCACCGTGAATTGGGCTTGGGAGCAGATCAGTAGCCAGTGTAATTGGCTGATTAGGCAGTTGGTCCCCTTCCTCGAACGCAATGATCTGGCGTCAGTGATCCATGCAATGGTCACCTCGAGATTGGACTACTGCAATGCTCTCTGCATGGGGCTGCCCTTGGGGCAACTTCGGAAGTTGCAGCTGGTGCAGAATGCTGCAGCCAGGTTGTTGGTGGGTGCCCCGATGAGGGAACATATCCAACCTGTGCTGAGGGCGCTGCACTGGCTGCCAATAGCGTTCCGGATACGCTTCAAGGTGCTGGTGATGACCTTTAAAGCCCTTTATGGTCTGGGACCTGTCTACCTGCGGGACCGCCTTTCCCCGTATGTTCCTCCAAGACGCAAGATCGCTTAGTCCCCCCTGGCCCTAGGGACGCCAAATTGACATCCACGAGAACTAGGGCGTTTTCCTTAGTAGCACCAACCCTATGGAACCAGCTTCCGCATGAGATCCGCGCTCTCCGGGACCTGCTTCAGTTCCAGAGAGCGGTGAAGACGGAGTTATTCCGCCAAGCTTTTAATAGTTTGGATTAAGCATGAAGCACTTTATGGTTGCCGCCATGAGCATGAGCATGAATATGTTAGTCTATATGTAATTCCTCGATTTTAATGCTGTGTATAGATTGTTTTAGAAATATTGTTTTACCGGTTTTTAATGTTGTAAGCCGCCCTGAGCCGCTTCGGCGGGAGGGCGGGGTAAAAGTCAAATAATAAATAAATAAATAAATTGCTGCTCCCAATAACTGGCCCCAACCAGCAGTCTGGGCACAATGTTCTGCACTAGTTGCAGCCTGCAAACATTCTTCAAGTAGAGTGCATTGCATAGTCCCATTTGGATGTAACTAAGGCATGGATTATTGAGGATAGATCTGACTGACTCAAGAATGGACACAGGTGGCACACCAGCTGAAGCTGGGCAAAAGCACTCTGAACCACCACAGCCACCTGGTTTTCTAGAAGAGGACTAGTAAGAGTCGATGAGAGAACAAACAAAACCAAAATCTTCATCTAATGGCAGAAGACAATAATAGAGGGATGCATGCAAATCTCCTGGAGAGGTTGGTACCACAATTGGGTACCACAATTGAGAAGTCTTTTTCTTGTGTTTCTACCTGTCCAGCCTTAGGTAATGGGGCTACCCAAAGCAGGGCTTCCGAAGATGACTAGCAGTGGTTGGTTAATATGACAGTAAAAAGGTAAAGGTTCCCTTGCTCGAAAGCCAGTCGAGTCCGACTCTAAGGTTGCGGTGCTCATCTCCGTTTCAAAGCCGAAGAGCCAGCTTTATCTTGACCAGTTCAGGTCGGGTGCATTTGAATGCTTGTAAAAGTGCTATGTAATTATCTTCTCTGGAGTTATGTGGGTTAGAAGTGACAACTACAGTCCCATACTTAGAAGTAAGGCCCATAGAACTTTTGGGAGTGGCTTCCTAAACATACATCAGGCTGTAAAACTGACTACTTCACACGTGACACTTTTCCTATCTGCATAGCAAACTGCAGTACAACATTACTTCTGTAAGTGTTAGAGATCATTTGTAATGACAAATATGTGAAGCAGTCTTTAGTATTTCAAGCTTGACTGAAATTGACCTCTGTCACAGAACGTGACAATACAGTTTCTAGCAATCTGTGTTAGGTTGCTAAGTATAACATCATTAGAGCCAATGTAGTGTAGTGGTTAGAGCATCGACCTAGGATTTGGGAGGCCTAGGTTCCGATCCCCACTCTTGTCATTAAATCTTCCTGGGTGACCTTGGAGCAGTCACCCTAACCTGCCTTACAGAGTAGCTATAATGAGGAGCAAGGGAGAACAGTGATGTAAGCCACTTTTCCCCAATGTGGAATCAAAAGCACTATATAACTAAATAAATAAAAACTCCCCCCCCCCCAGTTTTTCTCTGCCAAATCACCAGTGAAGGTACCTTGCTTGTAGCTTCCATCAGTTGATTTGTGTATTTACTACTAAGTTAAGTGAAACTTATGGTGTATTTATAGGAAGAATATAGATGTAATCTAATGCATTATTTCATGACTCTTTTTTCAAATGCAAGGCACTGATATTTTTAAATTATGAAGCAGCATCTGATTATCATTATTTTCAGAAACTGCTCTCTTTTGTCATAGGTATGCTTCCAGATCCTCGGAACACCCATATTGTGATAAGCTGGATGATTGCACAAACAGTAACTGCAGTAGCTGGTGTGGTCTCCTATCCCTTTGACACAGTGCGTCGTCGTATGATGATGCAGTCTGGGCGTAAAACAGGTAACTGGTGCTTTTTCCCCCCTTATAGAAGTATGAAGTAACATTCTTGGGGGCTTTACGTTTTGGTTTATTTGTAAATTGTTAAAAGTTTGACATCTCATAACTTTATAAAGTCAGTTGGAAAGTGAAGGTAAGGTTGAAAAGCCTGTGCAGCTTTCAGTCTATTCATACGTGATAGTTTTTGCAGGTATTTATCAGTCATATGTGTTTTATGGTAATTTTGCTTTATGGACAAATTCATGCCTAAAACACTGTGTAGTCATAATAGTGTCTCTAAATGTTAACAGTTAACAAGTAGGCCATCACACTGACATTTAATGGACTTGGGCCCCGGTCACACGGAGCATTAGGCACGCTAGAGAGACGGAAGATAGGTGGAGTTTCCGGGCGCGATCTCACCGCCACATCTGGGAAGTGTAGAGCTCCCATGGCTCACCCGAGGCTTCACTCCGAAGATGCGCTGTAAAAAACTTGTACCTCCGAGGTACTAGTTTCCAGAAACCGCGGGGCAAGGGCGAGCGTCAGATCACGTTTCCGGTGTTAGCTCGTGGCATCCGGTGCCCGCCCATGTCCCGTCGCGAAAAGTTTTTGTTTTGTCAAGTCTCCACGGGTGCGCACAAGCACCCAACGGCGCATGCGAACACTTGGGTTAAAAAAAACAACACAACCCCCGTGGCGCCGGTTCTTTGCCGCGCCGCAAGCGTGAGGTATGATCGGCACCTCCCCCCAACCACGGGACGTCGGGCGGGAGGTTTGATCTGGCTGCCACGCGGTAGTTCGCTCCGGGGCAAACAGCCACGCCTCCCCCCCGCGATATCCGGCCTGTGTGACCGGGGCCTGTGAAATCCTGTTGCAGTCAATGAGTAGAAACTGGCTTCACGTATCCATTATTCAAATATGGTCTGCTCTTTGCTTCCCTCACTCCAGTTAAACTTGTAACAAGTGCACCTCAGTTAAACTTGTAACAAGTAAAAGTTGGTGCTATGGGGAATTACATTTATAAGTAGATAGTTGAAATAGTTTCCTTAACTTCATGTGTAGCTACTTTGTAGTAAATGAACTCTGCAACATTTCCCCCCCACTAGTTCTGTACAGCTCTTAATTTCTTCACACAGAAATTTAATGTAGTGGTCCTGTTGTTCTTGAAACTAAATGTTTTAGGTGAACTGAGCTTGGTTTAATTTCCCCACAGCTGACATCATGTACTCTGGAACAATTGACTGTTGGAAGAAGATAGCAAGAGATGAAGGTGGAAGAGCTTTCTTCAAGGGCGCGTTGTCTAATGTTTTTCGGGGCATGGGTGGAGCTTTTGTTCTTGTGTTGTATGATGAGTTCAAGAAAGTAATCTAACTATTTTACTAGAATTGTGAGGTTAAATTGAACATACCATGTAGCGTAACTTACCATTATGGACCATTTGACTTTCAGAAATTCCTGTGCAGAGTCTATTTATCGGGGCCAGATCAGGTTTCTAAGTAGCGCTTAGAAACTACTTTCAGTGAACTGATGTACTTTGGAATACTGTTATTGAGGCATCAGAATAGACTGTTCAGTTCACTGATTGTCTGTTTCTGGTGTTTATTATAGTGGAGGTCTCACTATGTCCAAGGGAGATGATCTGCGCTTGCCTGTAGATCAGCTTGAAATTTCAAGTCTTATTTTACAGGACCATAAAATCATGTTTGGAGAACTACTTATGTAACAAATCATAGTTTCCCCCCACACACTTGTACTTAAGCACTATGTACTGTTTGCACAGCTGAACATCTAGCATTTGTGTTCTTTTAAATTTGGGGCATTCCGTGAAACAAAAAATGTACTTAACCCTGTTCCTTGTGTAGAATTTACTGTTATACATGACCACTGGAAGCCTTCTACCTTTAAAGAAAAGACTTCATTTTCATTTTAATTAGGCTTATGTGAATGGAAAAAGAAAGTAGGCTATTATAATGGTTTATTATTAAATGATGATGGGCAGAATGCAGCTTGAGCAGTACCTTAGTATCTTGTCAATGTGTATATAATGACTTGCTTTAGAAATAGGTAAGTTTTATAAATGGATAAACGGTAAAGTAACTTCAGGAGTGATGATCTTATTTCTGTATGTACTGTATATTATAGCATTCTGTTGATCGAAATCTAAGTTCTCTTCCACTAGGAAATTACTAAGGATGTGATACATTCCATTGGATATATGGTGTAATGCTGGCAAGTTTAAAGTTGCACTAAGGTGTAGGATGAAGGATACTAGTAATCAAAGGTAACTGGGTTGGATGTTGATGCTGCTCCTTATATGAAACCTGCAACATTGTCCAGCATGTTTTGGATTTCTGACGGAACTGTAAAAGCTTCAAATAAAGACTTTCTTGGGGATACTGAATATACCCAAGCAGGCTTATTTATCTTTCTTGTGACTCTTAACCAACAATGTACATATTGGAACAAAATACTGGAAAAAATTGGGAAAGCAATCTTAACTATTTAGTAGCATAATGGGACAAAAGGGTCCACTATCACTGAGCTCAGTGATTGTTGGTAATTTGTAGTACTTAATAAAGGAAAATCCAGAAGCTCAAAAACTGAAGGGTAATTGAAATCATACTTACATAGAAATGAGTTCCGCTTAAGTGGCAAGATTGGTTAGGGTATGCATCCTTCGTCTTTTTGTATATACTAGTTTATAGCTATAATAAAAGCTGATGTGTCATACAATAATAATAAAGATCTCTCGAATGAATTTGGAGTGCTAAAGAGATGGGCTTTGCAGGAACTATTTGGCATTAGAAATCAACTCAGATAAATTTGTGCCACCTGAAAGTGCTAACTCTTGTAAAAATCAAAGATTTTGGCTTGTGCTTGCAGCTACTTGTAAAATAGCTTCATACTTTAACTAAAGTTCTGGTTGCTTTCTCTTCTCTGAAGAAGAAATGAATTTTCACTCATAAAGGCTTGCATAATAATGGATTAATTTGTGTGTTGGACAATGAAGAAAGCTGACAGGAAGAAAGTTGATTCATTTGAGGTGTCGTGGTGGAGGAGAGTTTTATGGTTATTGTGGACTGCCTGAACTCGCCTAGAAGCTAAAGTGGCTAAACTGAGGCTATTGTAGTTTAGTCACATAAGAAGACCAATCACTGCTAGGAAAAGTTGGAGGCAGCTTGAAAAGAGGAAGCCCCAACATGAGATGGATTGACTCAGTCAAGGAAGCCACAAGGGTCCTCAGTTTGCAAGACCTAAAAGGGGCTGTTAACGATAGGATGTTTTGGAGGTCATTAATTCATAGGGTCACCGTAAGTCGGAAGCTACTTGACCACACTTAACACACACAGTCTAATAGTAACTGTTGTGTCATAAAACTAACTGTGCATCATGGCAGAAGCATACTTTGAAGAACTTAGGATATTTATGTAAAATTAGCTGCATCAACTTTATATTTAGGTATTTGGCCACCAAATGAGAAGGGAGCACTCACTGGAGAAGACCCTGATGCTGGGAAAGATTGAAGGTCAAAGAAGATGGGGATGGCAAAGCATGAGATGGTTAGACAGTGTCACAGATGCAATGAACATGAAATTGAGGATGGCGGAAGACAGGAGGGCCTGCCGTGATCTGGTCCATGGGGTCGCGAAGAGTCGGACTCAACTGTGCGACTGAACAATAACAAAAATTGCTATTTATTGTCTACGGCTTCTGATAGCATATGTTAGAAATAGTTAACTTGTGTAGAGTGGTTATATTCTATGATAGCAGAATTGCTTTAATTAAATTGCCTTGACTGCTCTCTGCAATTAGAAATAAATGGTCTGATCGTTGTGGGACGCTGATTCATAACTGAGATTAGGACAATCAGAATTAGTTTACTATAAGAGGAAAAACAAGCACTACCTCAAGGATGCTGTTTTAATATTTTGTAAGTAGATGATTATATAGAACTAAACACTAAATGATCTGTAAAGGATACTGGGACGATGTCCCTCTCCTTACTTCCATTACCACTACACTCATATGCAATAAGACAGCATAATAGGATATCAAGCGGCTACTTTTTCCAAAAGTTGCTTGCAGATGATGCCTAAAGATGCCTAATGGCTTCTTGTCTTTCAGCAACAGCACTGAATTGCTGACAGTGGCCTCTTCCTTTACCCTTCAAGAAGCAGGGATAGAAACTATACAAGTCAGTAGCTTGCTAGAAGTATCTTTATTTTTTAAACCCATCAGTAACTTCTTCAATGAATGTTATTTTTTCGTCAGGCTCACATGCTGTTGGTATTGGCTCCATCCATTCTTTCTTTAAAAAGAAAAAAAAACCAAGAGAAATCAAGTTTCTGAGATTTTCTATCCCATCTTAAGTAAAATGTTTGTAGAGATGGGTAATTAACAGCAATGAAACTGATGTATTTAACATTCTCCAATGTATAGAAGACTTATGTTGACCTGGACAACCTTGTAACAACTTCCCACAAGTTGATACTTTGCCTTGGATAGCTTCCTGATATCACTATAGTTCTAGAATTCAACTGCCAGTTCAGTAAATACATCCCCCTGTAAGTCCAGTTTATTTTGGGGGGATATTTCTTGAAGCTATTGTCACTGGAATAGTGTGGATAAAAAGAGCAATTTAAAAAATTGTGTTCTTTAGAGATGCTGAAGACCACTTATTCTCGAACCTTGCCAAACAAGCTTGGGCCAGTAACTGCCAGCCTAACCCTTCATGATTATTGTGTGATGGCAAAATATGTATGCTACCCTGACTGCTTGGAGGAAAGGTGGGATAAAATATAAAATATAATTTTTTTAATGAGGCATGGAATTTAAATCAAATATAAAAACGGTTTACAAACGTCTGTTGACAAAAGAAATCCTGGACAGCTTTTGTTTCTGTTTGACAGATGTGGTTATTCATGTTATTTTTAGCTCTTATACTTTTAAAATTTTTATTGAGTTTATTACTATACATACACAAAATAAAAACACATCAGTATTGTACAACCTTGTCATAAGTAATATATTGAACATATAAGTTGCATAGAACGTCATACAAAAACACTTACCTCCGATATTAAGCAAGTTCATATGAACCAATTTTTTAGGAAACCACATTGTGAGAAGCCAAATAATCTCATACAGGAAACCGCTTTACTACAAATTTGGAGTATATATCCATATCCATATTACTTTGAGTTATTTGGTCAGTGATTCCCCCCCCCCCCCATTATATCCAACTTTCAAATGTTTTTACAGATTTCATATGTTGTTATGCCATATAGGGAAGGCCCTGCCTTGTATTTCCATTTAGCAGCTATAGCTGTTTTTTGCTGCGATCGATAATGTGGCTATTAATTCTTTAGTAGATTTTGGTATATGTAGATCTGATCAGTAGTTTACAAATAAGAGTTCTGGTTTATTAGGTATTATTAAAACCAGTCGTAACATAAATCTGATTTAAAACGTGTTCCCAAAATTTCATGATAGCCTTGCACCTATACCAGCAATGCTCAAATTAAATCCATTTTTCCACCATTTTCCAGCATAATGTTTAGCTCTTATACTTGTAAAGAGAGGTGAAAATGGGAATTTAGTGGTTGACAATTCTTTTTAAAAGCCCTTGCATATATCCCTAAGGCTTATTCAATTGTTGTTGACATTATTGTAGAAAAACATTATGTAAAATTGCATCATATGTTTACAAACACACATTTGCTAGTAACTGAATGTACACAACTGCAGGATCAGCTATTTAACAGTACTTGGTACTTATCTGTGAAGACTCGCATGACACTTGCCATTAACCGTTATCATCTTAAATCTTTGGTGGATCATGGTATTAAACAGATTTTAAATCTTACCTCTGTATTCTTGCTATATTGCTGGAAAAGGTCTTTTGGTTGTGGAACTGGAACAGTTAGCTTATGCCATATACGGTATCTGTAGGAAGAAAGCTGGGACATGATTTGTTGTCCTGATGGAAGAATTCATCAGCCACCCTTTCACAGATGGAAAGCCACATACTTCTGAGGATTATGTGCATATTGTGCTTCTTATTTGTAATTATTTTAAATACATTTTAAATGTATATTTTTATTTTCACATGCACAGAGTTTAAATACAAATGAATCAAAATACCAAAAAAACTAGGAGGGTGATTAGAAAAAACTCGTTACATTACTGTTATCTGCAATTTTGTGTAAAATAACAGATTGTAGATTTACCTTTTACAGAGAAAAACCAGGATTAAGATAATTAAGATGGTTCCAACTGCTACAGGTATTAAAATAATTGCTGATGATGGAATTGGTTGGCTTGGGGGGTCTGAAAGAGATACATAGTCTTTAGAATTCTGATTTTCAGCTTGGAAATAGAAATATTGTTTTGTCCAGTGTTGGTTTGGCTGTCTTTTCATCAAAATTACACCTTAAAAATATTTTCTAAATCAGCTGGAAGCTTCTGTGAATCTACATGTTGAAAAACTAGAGAGTGGGCACCTATCTTGGTTTCATGCAGGTCAACAGTGCAGCTTTACCTAAATATCTCACAATAGAGGCAAATTGTGACTGCAGTATACCTCTTTTGCTGATCATGTATGTTGATCTGAGGGGCTGCAGTGGCTCAGAGGTTAAGATGCTGAGCTGCAGACAGGAAGGTCGGTAGCTCTGCAGTTCGAGACCTTAGTGCTGTGTGCCAGAGTGAGCTCCCGTCTCTGGCCCCAGCTCCTGCCAATCTAGCAATTCGAAAGCAAGAAATTGCGAGTAGATAAATAGGTACCGCTTTGGTGGGAAGGTAACAGCATTTCGTGTGCCTCGGCATTTAGGCATGCCGGCCACATGACCATGGAAGAAGTCTTTGGACAATGCTGGCTCTTCAGCTTGGAAGCGGAGATGAGCACCACCCCCTAGAGTCGGATGTGACTGGTTTTTGAGCAAGGGAAACCTTTACCTTTATTATGTTAATCTGAGCATCAAAAGACTGAGGAGGAAGAGAAATCACCATTTGTTGATACAGGAAGTAATAGCTACAGCATATTTTGGTGAATGACAGATCACACTGGAACTATCTGAGCTCCTATGAGTATTCCAAATGTACCTCCATACACTTTGAAAAGAATTCCTTACCTAATACAATTGGTTCACTCCATTCACTATTGACATATTGGTTTTTAAGTGAACGGATCCTCAAGATATGTCTTTCATCCACATCAATGTCTTTGTAATTGTAAGTTATCTGAAAGCAAACAAGTTGTCCCATTTATTTCATTGTAGTTTAGTTTTCAAGTTCTTTACTGTATGGGTTTGACTTCGTAGATGCCTCCCTTTCATATTATAAAATCTAATGTCTGAATTCCATGGCTAAGAAATGGGATCCAGAATGACACTCTTATAAGAGAGGCTCAATTTGCTTTGTCTAAGTAACTGGTTCACAATTAGGGTTCCATCTTGGGAGACAATGGCTGATTTCGCACTAGAGCTGCCTCGATGTTGCGCTGCTGTTTGCCCCTATACTATTGGTCAATTTCACACCCGAAGCTGCGGGGCTGCATTTTGACTCGTGGCTTTGCCCAATTTCCTCCGCAGTTTCATGATCCTGTTTCTTGAGGATCACGAAACTGCGGAGGAAATCAGGTGAAGCCGCGGGTCAAATGCAGCCCCGCGGCTTCGGGTGTGAAATTGACCAATAGTATCGGGGCAAATGGCGGTGCAACATCGAGGCAGCTCTAGTGCAAAATCAGCCAGTCTGTTCTCTCCCCAGACATCTGCTTCACAAGGGGAGGGTTTTACCTCTATATAATGGTAACACTATTCCTCACATATAAGAGGAAGGCTGCTATTTTAATCTGTTAGAAGAACTAAAATCTTAGAACAGGTGTGAGCCAAACCTGCCTCCCACCCCAGTTGGAGTAATCCACCAAAAGGAATCCCACAAGGATTTATAATACATTTCTGTGGATGAAACCCAACCAGAAATAAAAATAATGGTCTTCCCCTCACTCAACCTTTGTTCAACGTAATGATAAGAATTTTAGTTGTTGAAATGCTAACAGCAGTAAGTATAAATTACAGTGCAGTCCTAGGCAGAGTTACAGTCAATGTTCCCTCTAAGCTGAGTTAGTGTGAGCTGGCTCACAGTTTTTTAGCCTCCGGCTCACACATTTTGGTCTCCGCTCAGGAAGGATGGCTCCAGAGGAAACTAATTTCTGCAGCAGTCAAATCTCTCGCTCACAACTTTAATGCCATTCGCTCACAAAGTATAATTTATGCTCACAAGACTCCAAAGCTTAGAGGGAACATTGGTTACAGTAGTCTTCTACCACTGGTTTCAACGGCTTTAAACTGGTGTAACTGCCTAGGATTGTATTGTTAACTGGTTGTCCTATGTAACTCACTCAGAAATATGTCCTAGCTAAGCCAATAGGACTGGCTTCTATAAGTAAATAAGTTCAAAATGAGAACATGGATTTTACTGTTTAAGGTGTTATGAGGTTAGAAGTAAAAATTCATTAAAACTGTGGAAGACTGCATCTCCAGCCAATGAAGGCTATGGTGCATCCCCTTCTAAAGGAGCCTACCTTTGACCCAAGAGATCTCAATAATTATCAACCAGTCTCAAATGTTCCATTCTTGGTTGAACAGGTGGTGGCTGGACAACTCCAGGCTTTCCTGGACAGGGCAAATTGTTAGATCCTTTCCAGTCTGGATTCAGGCCCAGTTATGGGACTGAAACTGCTTTGGTCACCCTGGTGGATGACCTGTTTTAGGAGATGGACAGAGTGAGTGTGATTCTGTTGATTGTCCTGGACCTTTCAGCAGCTTTCGATACCATCAATCATGATATCCTTCTGGACCACCTTTCTGGACTGGGATTGGGAGGCATCATTCTTTAGTGGTTCCAGACCTACCTGGAGGGTAGGTTTCAGAAGGTGGTGCTGCTGTCGATCCCCTTGGCATTTTGTCTATGAGGTCCCACAAGGTTCCATCTTGTCCCCTATCCTCTTTAACATCTACAGGAAATCTCTGAGTGAAGTCATCTGGAGATTGGGGCTGGTTTGTCACCAGTATGCTGATGATGACACTCAGCTCTGTATTGCACTTCCAGCTGATCCCAAGGAGGCTGCAGAGACCTTGAACCTGCAGAGACCTAGAGGCAGTTTTGGAGTAGATGCAGGCTAATAAACTGAAGCTTAATCCCAAAATGGAAGTGCTACTGCTGAGTGGAAGGTCTCACCTGGGATTTAAGCTGTGACCCATTCTGGATAGGGTTGCACTCCCCTTAAAGAACAGGTGTGTAGTCTTGGACCCAGGCCTACTGCTGGATAAGAAGATGACTGCAGTGGCAAACCATCTTTTACCAGCTTTTCTTTTGTCCATTCTGAATCTACTAATTCTTCTGTATGAAAAATGCCCTGTCACTTTTATATTATCTGCTGAGTCACTCCCTCATCTTGTTGCTGTTGTATGCAACTTCTCTGGGCAGAAAAGATCTGGACACCATGGTGCATGCCTTGGTTACGTCTTAGATTACTGTACTGCACTCTCTGTGGGGCTGCCCTTGAAAAGTGTCTGCAAACTTCAGTTGGTCCAGGATGCTGCAGCTAGAATGTTGACTGGAGTAGGTCTGAGGGACCATATCACTCCAGTCTTGTCCCAGCTGCACTAGCTTCCAATTTGTTTCCAGGCACAATTCAAGGTGCTGGCCTTGACCTTCAAAGCCCTATATGGTTTGGGACCAAAATACTGAAGGACCACTTAATCCCTTATGAACCTGCCCAGCCATTACAGTCAGCTTCAGAGGCCCTGCTTCGAGTGCTTGCTCCCACATTCTGAGATTAGGTGGGTGGCAACCCAGGAGAGAGCCTTCTCAGGAATGACACCAAAGCTCTGAACTCTCTCCAGGGTGATTCATCTGTCCCCTTCAGTTGTCATCATCTGCCAGCAGGTGAATACTTTTTTGTTATTTTGGCATTCCCTTTATGACACCTCATTCCTAACCAAGGTTTTATGTTTTGTATGCATTTTAACTGTTTACACACACACACACACACACACAGTTTTTAAAAGTCTTTTAAAAGTTGTATTGAGATATGCTTGTGATGGGGGCTTATTTTAATGGTTTTATAATGCATTTTGTCATTTTTGTTTTACATTTTTAGCTGCCTTGGCAGCCCTTATAAGAGCAGAATGGTGGGATATAATTTTTTGTAAATGAATAAAAAATAAATAATGAGCTCCTGTGGCACTGATCACATTGCTAGGAGTTGAATATTTTTTCAAGTAATGATGAGTGGGAATCCATTGCCTCCTGTATGTGCTTCTCCAAAGTTTTCAAATGGACTAGGGTGAGTTCAAAGCACTTTAAAGTGTTTCTAAGTAGGGTAAGTTTCACTTTTTGATGAATTGGCCATCAGCTGTCCTCTTTTAGCCTCTGGGATTAGTGGACTCATAGGATCCAGCCCAGGAAGACTGGAAACAGCAAGGGACATGCATGATTCACATCTAGGTAGAAAAAAGAAGCCAGAAGCAACAGCAATAGAGGAGCATTTTTCATCAGTTTTCATGAAACTATATGTACAGACATTATGTCCTTATTAAAACTTGTAAATCCATTAATACATTGGGTTGGACCCCATGATTCATGAGCAGTGTGATACTCCCTGCTCGCTTCCCCCTTCCCCCTGCGTCGCCTCAAGCGTACTATGCAGTACTGGGGGCTGCATCCTGAGTAAGCAATCTGAAAAGGCTGTGGACATCCCTTGTGTGCAAGCACAATCCACTCAAGGCAACTGAGCATCCAACTCATTATACTTCAACCACATTTTGGCACTGATGTTTTATTACTATACCATACTAAGCCCACAAGGCATGAAGTCATATATCACAGAAGGCAAAGTGGTGATGTAGAAATTGTGATTATTTAGGGTGATTGACTTTTTGCACCTAATTTATTTCCAGTTTTATATTTTTCTTTCTGGTACATCATGCGTGTACTTCCATCAATTTAGATATCTACCTATTTGAGATAATTTTTAAACATCTGAAAGTTTTCAGCATAATATGTCCTTTTTAAAAAAAATTCTGAACTCTAGATAGACCATCTCTCCTTATATATAATCCTGTTTTGGGGTGAACGTTCCACATGCTCCCATAGCATTTGGCTCACTAACCTGTCACTTCAATGGAGTGCCAATCCAGTGGCTGCATTGCTGGAATTAGCGTACTGGCCATTTCCAGCTCTCCCATTGGCTGTGCAGAGTGGTTCCGTCAGCCATTGTGCCATTGGCTGCCTCTCAAGAGTACTCGCATGCCATTGGCCAGGTGCTGGGTCTGCTCCTCTTCCCCGCCCATTTTCACTTCACCACCTGTTCCCTGTCAGATTTACTGGCAGACAGCTCTCTCTACTGAGGAAGACACTTCTCTTGGCTCCTGTGTGGGACTAACTCTCCCCTCAGTGGCTGTTGGTAGGCAACCAAGCTTGCTTCTGTCAGTAAAAAGACAAAGGACTTTCAGCATAATCCCCTCCTCCGCCCACTGCCAGCTTGGCCACTTTCCTGTCAGAATAAACAGAAAACAGCCCTCTCTCCCTTTTGGCTCCACCATGGCTGGCTGGCTAATGAGGTGGGCCAGCAGCCATCAGACCATTCAATTCAACTCCCTGCTGTGTGGCTGACTTTCCCCTAGGGTTGCCAGTCTCCAGGTGAGACCTGGAGATCTCCCATTGTTACAATTGATCTCCAAATGACAGAGATCAGTTCCCCTGGAGAAAATGGCTGCTTTGGAGGGTAGACCCTCTGCCAATATACCCTGCTGAGTCCTTCCACCCCCCCCCCCAAATGCTGCCCTCCACAGGATCCACCCCCCAAATCTCCAGGTATTTCCCTAAGAGCTGGCAACTGTACTTTCTCCTCAATGCCTGTTGCTAGGCAACCAAGCTTGGTTCCATGAGTAAAAGGCCCTTTCCACACCTATGTTGGCCTTTGGGAGAAAACTCATTGGGGTCAGTCCTGACAGGGTGCCAACTCCAGGTGGGAAATTTCTGGAGATTTGAGGGATGGAGCCTGGAGAGGGTGAGGCTTGAGGAGGGGTGGGACCTCAGACAGGTACAATGCCATAAATTCCACCCTCCAAACCAGCCATTCTCTGATGGGGAAACATTGTTGCCAATCTTCAGGTGGGGGCTGGAGATCACTCAAAATTACAACTGCTCTCTAGGGGGCAGGAGATGGAAAGCTGAAGCCAGGGGACAGATAACTGTTGGGCAGTCCCGTCACTGGTTCCCCCCCCGTCTCTGGAATGTGTAATGCTCTGCAGCTGCGTTTCACTTCTGCTCCTTATCTGCCCATTGGCCTTGAGTGTACATTGCTTCGGCGCGAAACCTTCGTTCCTCCCACTCACCCCTGAACCATTGAGCAGTTCCCTGTGCTCCGCTCTAATTGCTTATTGGCTTCTAGGTATCAGGGGGTATTGTATGAATCCACTATAAATACTTTTGCCATTTTGTATGCCTCATTCCTGACTCAAAGAGTCTAAGTCGACTTCACCTTGCTCTGATCAATAAAGCTGAACCTGTTTAAGAACCTGCTATTGATGCTGATTTATTGAAGTACCTCCACATGCCCCGTAATCTTAATGCCAAACAGCTGAGGTGGGCTGATTTCTTTTCAAAGTTTCAATTCATGCTTCACCACTTCCCAGGAAAGGCAAACTCCCTAGCTGACGCTCTTTCGCGCCTCCCACAACATGACAGTCAGAGGGAGGGAGTGGTGGACTCGATGTTCACTCCCTCCCAACTGGGTGGGGCGGTCATCACACGTAGTAAGGCGAAAGCAGAAATTGACACAGGAGGGAGGGACTGGTCCACTGAATTTGCCTCCACCTTTTCTGACTCTGATCGCTCGGAAATTGAGTTTGACGGGGGTCTGGAAAAGAGGCAAGATGGTTGCTGGTATAAAGACCATCGCCTCTTCATCCCCAGGACCCTATGCTGCCAGTTGATGGCAGCGGCTCATGTATCTAAACTGGTGGGTCATTTGAGCTATCTAAAGACATTGCATCTTTTACAAAGGCAGTTCTGGTGGGCGGGCATGCAAAAAGACATTTCCTTGTACGTACAGTCCTGCCCCACTTGTCTCATGTGTAAACCCCACCTGGGTAAGCCTCCAGGACTATTGCACCCTCTGCCGACTCCTAACTGGCCATGGGAAGTCGTGTCTATGGACTTCATCACTGATTTGCCCCCTAGTGGAAGAAAGACATCTATTTGGGTGGTTGTAGATACGTTTTCTAAGCAAGCACATTTTTTCCCTCTGAAGCAAGTGCCTACTGCCAAAAGGTTGGCCAAGTTGTTTATGCATAACATTATCAAACTCCATTCAATCCCGAAGAAGGTGATTTCCGACAGGGGGTCTCAATTTGTGGCTAAGTTCTGGGGTGAATTGCTGAAGTCCCTTGGAGTTGAACGGGCCCTCAACAGCACCTACCACCCAGAGACTGATGGCCAGACCGAATGGGTTAATCAGACCCTTGAGCAATTCTTGCGTTGCTTCACTAATTTTCAACAGGATGCCTGGACTGAGTTGCTCCCATATGCAGGATATTGTTACAACAGCACGGTACATTCATCCACAGAGGTTTCTCCTTTCCAAGCAGTGCATGGCTACGAAGGCTCACCCCTTCCCTGGTTGTCCCCCTCCCCCCCCGTACTGGTGGATGTTCAACCGCATTTTGAAGTTGCCACAATCTTGAACTTTTCCTTTAAACATAACCGCTTGTATTATCTGGTTGAGTGGGTTGATTTTGGTCCTGAACACAGGGAATTGGCTAAGGCATCTGATGTGCGGGCTCCTTGCTTGGTCTGCCTCTTCCACTCTCGCTTCCCCGGCAAGCCAGGGGGGTGCCTTGGGGGGGGGATGTTGGGGAGTCCCGCCATAAGTCCCCCCCGGTCTCTGGAATGTGTAATGCTTTGCAGCTGCGTTTCGCTTCTGCTCCTTATCTGCCTGTTGGCCTTGAGCGCGCATTGCTTCGGCGCAAAGCCTCTGTTCCTCCCGCTCACCCCTGAACTGTTGGACGGTTCCCCATGCTCCCCTTTAATTGCTTATTGGCTTCTAGGTGTCAGGGGGTATTGTATGAACCCACTATAATTACTATTGCCATTTTGTATGCCTCATTCCTGACTCAAAGAGTCTAAGTCGACTTCACCTTGCTCTGATCAATAAAGCTGAACCTGTTTAAGAGCCTGCTACTGATGCTGAGTTATTGAAGTACCTGACAATAATGGTAGGTTGATGGTTGGATGTGAGGGAGACAGGGTTGCCAAATCCAGGTTGGAAAATTCCTGGAGATTTGAGGGATGGAGTCTGGGGAGGGTGAGGTTTGAGAAGGGGTGGGACCTCAGACAGATACAATGCCATAGACTCCACCCTCCAAATCAGCCATTCCCTCCCAGGGAACCACTGTTGCCAATCTCCAGGTGAGGGCTGAAGATCACTCAAAATTACAACTGCTCTTCAGGTAGCAGGGATCAGTTCCTCCGGAGAAAATGGTGGACTCTGTGTCATTATACCCTGCTGAGGTCACCACAGCAAATTGTCACTGAGTGCCCAAAGCCAGTGCACTCTCCCAAAGCCTCTTTCTAGAGCTCATTGTATTTATTTCCACAATGGGCCTTATTCCTAGTTTAGACTATATTTGGTAATACAGTAGTATTTTAGTATACTACAGTTTAAAAGATTTGCTGCCTGTTTAAAATATAGTGTCCCTGTGCTTACTCTGTTGATAAGGCAAAAGATACTTACAAGTTCAGTGGTATTTTTGATTTCATCCTAAAACACAAAACAAAAGCCACACATGTTAATAAAGGAATATGGTTTTTTCCATAGATTGTATATAACTATATAGATTCATATACCTTGGCTGGCAAAAAGGCAAAAGTTGCCAGAAATCAACTGGTATCATTTGTATTAACGTGAACAAATATCCTAGTTAACATTCCCTCTATTCTCCCCCCCGCCATGCTGAACAGAGAAATTTACATCCTGAACAAAATATAACTGCTGTAACCTTAAAAGGGGCAATAGGCAGTACAAGACCCTGCATGGCTCCAGATTGCTGTTGAGTGGGGCTTCCTGTGTTAATGAATAGCCTCTCATATGCCCAGTTTAGAAGGAACACTGATCTCAGTACTAACTTTCCCCCTAATTTTGACTGTTTCTTCAAATGGATAACAATGTAAACAAGATTGCCTGCAGGCATTTTTCTATAAGCATTTTTTATCCTGGAAGTGCTGAGCCATCCAATCCCTATTCTTTCTGCTCATCTGGTTCTATGACTTGTTCAGACTTGCTAGGCCATGAGATCCCCAATCTCACCCTATGGGTACTTTTTGAATATTGAGAACAGGGAGTAGATTCCACCACAAACTGGTTGCCATGGGGACTGGGGCCATTTATGAAATGGCTGCGATGAGATGCTGGAATAAATTGCTATGATACAAGCAAAACATTCTACTATGATAGACATAGTTTCTGAATGAGTGCTCCCTATAGACACAAACATGATGCTTCCTGGGTTCTTCTACAGTATCTCCTGCTTCACTGAGGTAGAGGAAAACCGGGACTGGCTATTTCCTTTTGTGAATAGATGCTTAGTTGAAGGAGAAATAGACAGCAGACAATCCATTGATGGTTGCCATGGTGTCCATGAGCACGACATTGGGAATGACTGATTTGCCTCACCAATCCCACGATTCTCTTCATTCTCTCTCCTCTTTAGCTTCCCCCACAACTTTCACCTCTTGTACATTGCTGCATTGCAACAGGTTGTGGGACTTTTTTCACCCTTTCCCCTTTCCATACTACTACTCTTTGGATGTGGAGCTGCTGCAGGCTGTGGAAGGTCAGTAGTTCAGCAGTTCGAGACCCGGGTGCCGCATGATGGAGTGAGCTCCCATCTCTAGTTCCAGCTCCTGCCAACCTAGCAGTTTGAAAGCAAGAAATTGCAAGTAGATAAATAGGTACCACTTTGGTGGGAAGGTAACAGCGTTCCGTGCGCCTTGGTGTTTAGTCATGCCGGCCACATGACCACGGAAATGTCTTCGGACAGCGCTGGCTCTTCAGCTTTGAAACAGAGATGAGCACTGCAACCCTAGAGTCGGATTCGACTGGCTTTCGAGCAAGGGAACCTTTACCTTTACTATTTGGGATATTTGTCTTTTCTTGCTTCCCAAGTATTCATAGACCTTCTGCCTGTCCTTTACACTTTGTTGTTCCTAAACTGTAGAAACATATACATTGGTATTCAAAAGTCTCATTTTATGTTGCTGAAGAAGTATGGACCACCAGTTGTAAGAATGACTGGGGTTCAATCTTTTCATTGATGTGGTAAAATGGACTTTATCATCTCATCTTGATTGCTTACATTCCTTTTAAAAACTGCAAGGAATAAGACCTGTGTAAGTGTGTTGGGGGGAGGGGCAGCATGGTATAATCCGATCTTGGAAGCTAAGTAGGGTCAGTACTTGGAAGGGGTACCACATAAGAACATAAGAGAAGCTGTGCCAGATCAAACCAATGGCCCATTCAGTGTCACAAAGTGGCCAAAACCCAGGTGTCTTCAGGAGGTCCATCAGTGGGACTAGAACCCCAGAAGCCCTCCCACTGTTGCCCCCCAAGCACCAAGAATACAGAGCATCACTACTCCAGACATAATGTTCCATCTGTACCTCGTGGCTAATAGCCACTGATGGACCTATATGAAGAAAAGAAGATATTGGATTTATACCCCACCCTTCACTATCCAAAGGAGTCTCAGAGCAGCTTACTAACTACTTTCCCTTCCCTTCCCCACAACAGACACCCTTTGAGGTAGGTGGGACTGAGAGAGCTCTTTCAAGAACTGCTCTTTCAAGATTGGGACAGTGATGTGTTCATGTGACTGTAACCCATGCAAAGCAACCTTGCTACAGAAGATGGAGGAGGATGGCCCTTTCTATCTTACTCTTGATAAGAAAGTATATCCAAATGAGTCTTCCTTTGCTGGCTTTAGAGCAATGTCTCGACTGAGAATAATATAATCAAGAGATATGAGATTTATCCAGGGAGGTCAGAAAGGCTCAACAAGTTCTTGGACCAGAACCAGCAATATTTAGCCTTTATAACAAAATATGATTTGTTGAAGAACTGGAGGTGGTTCTGCAAAGTAGGGTTGTTTCTTCTTTTTAACATCAAGTGAAATGAAAAAAGAAAGAATTTTTATCTATCATGGTAGATAGGGGAAGTGCACTAAAGCTGAACTCCCTAGAAATCTGAACAGTGGCAAATTTTAAACGTTTGCATTTTTAGTGTTGATTGAAAAAGATCTTGTTTCTTGTATGGTCTTTGAACAACTTGACCTCTTACCTTTATTTCGTAACGAATGCAGCAGCAGTACTCATTGTTGAGAGGAGGTGTCCATTGTATTCTACACTTTGATGGTAGCTTAGAGCAATTTTGAGTGATGGCTTGTGGAGGGCCTAGCCTTTCTGGAATGAAAACTGCTACTAACATATTTGACAAGCAGAGAAATGTGGCATTTCAGACATTTAAGTGGTGCATCTTATTTCCCCAGTGTCCAAGCAATCAAGTGCCATATACTGTGGTGAAAGCTGGCTCGCTGGCAAGAGGCCTCAGTGGCCCCGGTCACACGGAGCATAAGCCACGCTAGAGAAACGGAAGTTAGGCGGATTTTCCGGGCGCGATCACAGTGCCACATCTGGGAAGCGTAGAGCTCCCGTGGCTCACCCGAGGCTTCCTGCTCCATCTATTATTGTAATTCCCAAACAAGGCAAAGATCCAGCCCAGCCAGCCTCCTACCACCCTATTTTTGAACACAGACTTCAAAATTTTCACTACAATCTTAGCTTCCAGACTAAAATCCTTCATAACAAATTATATTGAACAAGATCAAGTTGATTTCATGCCAGACGTGACATCGCGGAAAATACTCACAATTCTCAACCATTGCACTTCCAATAAAATTCCAGCCGCTTTTCTGTCCCTGGATTTGGAAAAAGCTTTTGATTCAGTGGAAGTCATATATTTACAACAAATGCTCCAGAAGATGGGCTTCGGAGACAAATTTCTAAACATTTTCCTGCCTGTGTGGCCGAGGCCAGTAATGGTCAATCCTTAAGCACTTTAAGATTTCTATTACATTTAAAAACTAAAATAATACCCTTCACATTCTTACCATGGCTGCATGGCTTGAGGAGCACATCATAATACCGAATGTGCGACTTTTTGCTTGATCCATTCACGTAGAAGTAGTAAGCGTCGTTATTAGAATCAAAATTCATTTTAGGAATGTGGCATGCGATATGTCTTCCGAGGGTATTATTTATGTAATGTGGACACTCTCTCTTTTGTTCTCTGTCTTTGCCAGAGTATTCCGTATTGTACTTCAGGTAAAGAAAATACTGAACATCTGCTGGAGCATTTCTGCCAGCATTCCAAGTGCAGTTCACAGAAGAATCATTGTAAAGCACACAGGAGAAATTTTCAGCTGATGTTCCATCAGTTTCTGGAAAGGAGTGGAAGTTAATACTATTTAGCATTTCTATAATGTATTTCAAATGGTAAGAATATTTCATATGCATATGATCTCCTACATGTGTACATCCATATTAATATAACTTTCCCAAGCGTGCTCCAAAACCACCCAGCAAACCCTAGGAACATATTTTGAGACTGAACCTTAAATTGCTACCAAAGTCACCTTTCAAAAATTATACAAACACCATACTTTCAAACAAGTTATGAAATCCTGATTGAAATGTTGACAATCCGTTGAAGCAGGAGGTACAAAGAGAATATCAAATCAGGAAACTGCTATAATGTAATTCACAAAGCCCATTTTTCTACCATCTTATGTAATCTTTCTCTGTGCTGAGTTCATCCAGTTCTTAAACTGTAGAAAAAGGGAAATGCTGGCACTTAAGCTTGTCAGATAAGAACACGTCCCTTGATATGTGAAGATTTCTGTTGCTGTTAATCAGTGTTGGTGAAAATGCATACTGCCCTGCATGGGGAAACTTGGTTCTCATTTAGATTCAGATGGGTAGCCATGTTTGTCTGAGGCAGCCGAACAAAGTTCCAGTGGCACCTTTAAAACCAACAACATTTTATTCATGGTATAAGCTTTTGTCTGCACGGACAGACATGTCTTCAGATACATTGAAATGGAAGTTACCAGGCAATACGTGTAGGTAGAGGGTGAGCAGCAAATTAGCATACAACATAATGAAGATGTTTGACTGGTAACTTTGTATCTTAAGAAATGTCCGTGCACACAAAAGCTTATCCTTTGAATAAAACTTGGTTGGTCTTAAAGATGCCACTGGAATCTTGTTTTGTTCTTATGGGTTCAAGGGACTGAAGCCTCGCTTTGAAGAGTGATATAAGGACTGAAACCTAGTATAAATTAAGCCCTGCCAATAAGAAAACTCCTGTTCAGTTACTCTAATTTACTCTTCTTGACCAAGTACTCAAGAAAGAAGTTACTACATATTCTGGCATCCATGCTATTGATTTACAATATGTCTGCTCCTCATGGGTCCGGGAGGGATGATGCAACTGTGTGGTGGGTGGGACACAGAGTGAACGTGTAGCATCTGAGAGAACAGCCTGGGCTAAATCTGGGCCATTTGCTTCTCTCAACCAGATGTCTTTGAATCAATCTAGGTCTGTCTTCCCCTGCCTAATTAAGGTAGCAGTCCATTTCCTAGGGAATATGTCCCATTGAACTCAGTAGGATTCACTTCTGAGTATGCATGGTTAGGATGGCACTTAGAAGGATTAACCTTATTTAGGATGGCGATGTAAATCAAGAATCAGAGATGTTTTATTCTTTACAGATCTGACATTAAATCAATAGTGTTGAAAGGGGATTACTTGGAGTTCTTGCACCCCCAATGCTTTGTATATGACTGAGTTTTGATGAAATAAGCATATATTATCTTATTGCATCAGTAATTTACTGATGCACTTCTGATTACACTTCTCCCACTGCCATTACTCGCCTGTCATTCTATGACATTATCATAGAACTTGGTTATCAACCCAGTGCCAGCCATTAGGAAGAACAACCAGTGTACTGAAGTAGGGCATCCGCATAACTACAAAAAGCAAACAGTGTTACTGTTACAAGTTTCCATAGCTACAGTTTCCTAGTGCTCTACTGTTTGATGTGTGGCGGGTCCTTCTGGGGATGTATGAAACAAAGGGCTACCCCACCATGTGCAAGTTCCTCTGCACAAAGTATTAGCCACAAATCAAAAATCCAGATAAACAAGGGCTCCTGAATTGTAACATGGGGCTACCAAACATTTCCATTCCTTTCCATGCTCCAAGGAAAGATGCCAGCAAAGGAGGACCAGAGGTTCACTCTGCCATTCCTCAGAATCCAAATGAACTATACAGCATTCTTCAAGTGTTTTCACTATTTCTTTCAACCACTTAACCAAATTTATATATATAAGTCTGGCTCAATTAATTCTAGATCCCCAGAACGTCATTTTAATCCCAAACCATTAAACAGAAAGTAATCTGTCATTGTTCCCCTCTTCAAACAGGCTTTAATGTGAGGTTTAGGACCACCAGGGTCACTTGGACTGACCTGAAGGGAAATGTACCAAGTTCCCTCCTTCTTGTGACTATTCCCTATAGGGGTTCCGGGAAAACGTATTGCCCTTGGAATATTGACTAAATTACCTTGAGGGGGAAAGTAGACGCTATCTGAAAGAGTCTGATTCAGATACTTTATTTTGATGATGAATGTAGCCCCCTCGTGAAGCGACACGCTGTCAAAATAGCACATTGTGCTATTTTGTTCTATCTGAAAAAGAAAGACTTCATCAAGTTAGTACTTTTAGGTTGGGTTTTGGAGACATCAGCACATTGTGGATCTGTTACTTGAGGAGGTGATGCTCAAGCTGCTCCACACTCCCTGCTTTCCTTCTGGGGCCTTTCAATGCCCCTTCGGTTTTCAGATGTACATTTCTCTTACGTGCTTCTGGGACCTGGGGTACCTAATTAGTCAGATGAAGAGCTAACTATGCAAACGGCAAAAGGCACTTTTAGGGATCTATTCAGATCATCTCACCTTTCTTTCTGCGGCTCTTCTGTTAGAAGATCAATTGAACTCGAATTGTGGTATGGTTGTAATCAGTTTTTATTTTTAAGACCCTGGTTATGTTGTTACAAATTTGGCTGCTTTGATGGGCACAAAAGGCCCTATCATTATGGTGAAATAAGTTGTCAACAATTTGGTCGTAATCTTCCTTGCTGGCTGGAAATCTCTCTCTCCTGCCTTCAAAATGTAATCCACCTTAGTACTTCAGAAGAGCCAGAGAGTCAGCTAGAAGCAGTTGCAATCTGAATTTGAATGCAGGCAGAGAGCTAATGTTTTTTAGTTAGTTGGCTGAAACAGTTGTCACAATAAGCTATCCTATGAAGTCAGCAGTTTAAAAACAGCTACATAGGCTGCCAGTTTGCTTCTGAGTCCAACTCAAGTTGCTGATTGTCTCCGTGGGCCCACAATATTAGAAGTAACAAGTGTGAGCCTGTGACACTTGTGGTGGGGAATCTTATACCCCCCCCCCCATTCTCACTGGGCCCATCATGGCTCCTGGGCTCCCCTGCAGCTGCCTCTGGGACCAGTGTGCCCCCGGACAGCTTTGCTATCACCGGGTCCAGCATGGCCCCCGGGCTGCTTCACTGCCACTGTCTCTGGGCCTGCCACCTCCCCTGGCCTGCGTTGCCACCACTGCTTTTGCTGGGCCCACCACGGCTCCCAGGCTCTACCACGCTGAAGGTAGGAAGGAAAGAGCATTCTCTGCACTTGCATGGAGAATGCTATTTTACTTTGGGGGAAATTTAACACCCCCAGTATATGTTTCTAAAGATTTCAGATTTTTCTGCACACTTGAGAGGGGGGGAGGTCACCCAAGTTTGTAGAAAAATCCATTTAATGCAAGTGAGATCCTGATCTGCAGATTTAGATAGTGAAACTTGTCTAATAGTATTTACATTTATACTTACAATACCATAGTCACAAGTTTTCCGAGGAGTATCAACAGAACATTGGGCCACTGTGACATTAGAGTCCCAGGTCATCTCCATATTTTCCCGATCTACCTTCCAGTTTAAAATCACCGAAGATGGCTTCTTCACTAAAAGTGTAAACAGAGCAAAGCAATCACATTTTTTTTTTAAAAAAAAATTCATCTGATCTTCACTTTTTGACTGTACTCAAATGCCACTTAAATTAATGGGACACACTTATGTATAACAAATGGCAAGATTACAACAGAAGCTTCTATATAATTCTCCCACTGAGGTATTTCAGTGAGTTATCCATAAGTCATTTAAAAAGTTATGTTTACTAGCAAATGTTCTTGAAGTATTAGCACTAGTTCAGATGTAACATTTTACACAGAGCTTATCTAGGGTTGCCAAGTCAAATTTTCTTACCGGTGGGGGAGCCTCGCCAGGCTCCGGGAGCTGTTCTTTGATGTGCGCGTGCATGCCGCCAGCATGTCACCAGAAGTGACGCGCAACATCGATCACGTTGAAGGCGTGGCGCCGATCATCAGAGGGAAAACCATAGAGTTTTCCCTCCGATGATCGGGGCCACGCCCCCAATGTGATTGACGTGGTTGCGTCACCTCTGGTGACACAGCCACTCTGCGCTTCAGGGGGCGGAGTTCCCCCTGGGGCCCGATTCTGCGGCGGTGGAAATCAGGACTCCGAAGCGGGGGTTTACCCGCCCCCACTTGGCAGCCCTAAGCTTATCTTTGCTGTGAAATGAGTCAGAGGATGCATTCATTCCAGCACTGCTCAGATTCATTTAATCTTTCAAAAGAACTCACTTGATTCTAAGCATCCCATAAATAACAAAAGAGTTTCCCAAGCCCATAGCCCTGGATATTCCTAAGCCTAGTTGTTCGGAAAAAGCAGGTGAGAGCGTGATTGAGAATGTGTTGCAACACAGGTGTATTTTAAGGCCTTCTGTCTTAGCCCCACTCCCTGTTCAGTGATGTTCCCGATGACCATGTTTTGTGGCTTACCCATTACTGGTAGAGGAATGACTACATTACTATACTCACCAGTCTCATCCAAGTTGCAGCGGTAGAGTCTGTGTTTGTTTTCCTTTGATCCTGCAAGGAACAATGGGCCATTTGGCCAGCAATATTAATAGGTCACATGGAATGCCTGATGCTCAAGGTGATGGTACTCCCCATTGCCTTTTCTAGTACATGCTAGGTGCTTACCTGAATCTGGGAGTTTGTGGCTCCTAGGCTCATGTCTATTTGCTTAATGTATACTTATCCTGTGGATGAGACATTGCTACAACCTGTGGAATGAATGTGGGCTTTCCCTTGACTTCAGACAAGGTGTTTAAACTTACAATACTTTATTTGCAAGTATAACATTATGCCATTGTTGAGGCAGTACCGACCTTCTGAATCAGCATAGGCTTTCAACTAAGACTCATTCTGCAATGCCACCCATTCGGTCCATTTTTGTCCCTTGTACTGGCATTATCACATCAGCATGACAAAACACCAGTCCAGTCTTGAAGGTACACTGGCTCAAATCCACTCTGCCAAAGCATCTTCAGGTTCCACTGGGGCAATCTGACTTGGTAATGGATTCTATGCTCATCTGTCAGGTTTAACTCAGACTGTGCTGCAAATCTTACAGTTGAGTGTGTGTACTTACCCTGTACATTTGGTAAAGCAGCATAAAATATAGCGTACAAAAATATGAGCCAGACCACATCAGCAAATCCTAGAGTGGTTACCATCCTATTGTCCTTTATAAGTAAAAAGAATAAACCCTAAAAAGAAAGAGAGAAGAGTTTGTTTCACTACTGCCTTTTACCAAGCCAGTCATTATACTTTTTCTACCATTACATTCTTGATGATCAGGAGTCCAATGTTCCCTCTAAGCTGTGGATTCGCATGAGCAAAAATTCTACTCTGTGAGTCAAAAAGAGCTACTAGCATAAAAGATAAGAACATAAGAGAAGCCAATGTTGGATCAGGCCAATGGTCCATCTAGTCCAACACTCTGTCACACAGTGGCCAAAAATACCAGGTGCCATCAGGAGGTCCAGCCTTCCCACTTAACTTGTTTGCTTAAGACCCATTGGTCTTAAGGAATAAAAGCAAAGAGGTATAGAGGAATTTCTGTGCCTCTCCTGCCCCTTCTGCAGTGATCTGCTCAGAAGAACATTTTAGTGGATTGTACCAAGTCCATATCACAAAAGCATGGTAGCATACTTGGTGACTGTCCTACAGCTTTGGAATTCACTACCTCTACAGTCTCACCAAAGTTTGAGCCATAACATTTTCCAGAAGTGCTTTAAATCCTTGTTTGGGACAGCATTTAATGGCTGACTTCTATACAGTGCTGTAATATTCTAAATGGCTATTTTATTTTTTAGAAGGATAGAATTATTTTAAACCTGCACAAAGCCCTCTGAAGGGGGTTCATTAAAATTGAATTTAAAAAGCTTTAGTAAAAAAATGTCAACATACTATAGAGAGACAATTAATTATTGTAGCTTACATAAACAGTCAAAATTCATACAGGCTTGGTGAAAAATAATGTTCTGAGTCAGAAAAAGAAAATAAAATAAAGAGCACACACACACACTATATATATATGTATATATATTTAAAGATTTATATCTTTCAGCCAGATAGTTTCTGAATAAGCAATCCTAAATCAGTCTACTCAGAAGTGTCCTATTTTATTCAGCCTCCCAGGAAAGTGTTTTTAGGATTGCAGCCTGAGATGGTTAGTATTGTTGCCTTCATTGCTAACAGAAAAATGCAGCACCAATATACCATAATGGAGGGATCAATAACTAGCTCAAAGTTCAGTTGTCTGATCTTGACCCAAGGAGCTCTCCCTTATTTTGAAGAAAAGCTGTTTTCTCTCACCTGAGCCAAGAAAGAGGCGGTTTTCACATGAAAGGCTTTAGTCACCACTGTCTCACTTCTGCAAAAGCAGAAACAGAGTCAAAGGCCTCTTTAACTCCCGCTGCGTCAGACTGATTTGGGTGAGACTCTCTCTCTCTCTCTCTCTCTCTCTCTCTCTCCCCCTCTCTCTCTCTCTTGTTCTCCCTCTTATTCAGTTGCAGGCTGATTTGGATGAGACACACACTCGGTCTCTCTCTCTCTCTCTCATGCTGATTTGGGTGAGACACACACACTCAGTTTCTCATTCTCTCTGTTGCTCAGTTCAGCAAAGGGTGTGGCCCTGTGCGTGAGAGGAGGCACCAGAAGCAAAGTGAGAAGGGTGGGGAAGAGAGAAAAGAGAGTTATGCATGCAGGGGTCAGCCTTGGCCTCTCCCACTCTCAAAACAGCACAGCCCCCAAGCAAGCAATGCTTGCCCCAAGAGGAAGTGTGTCATGCAGGATTATTCAGTTGCTGTGTGGGACTGAGTGCAAAGGGAACTGAGTGCAAAGGGAAAGAAGGGAGATTTTTTTCAGTGCACTAGGAGCTAATCTCATTGTGCTAGGGGCTAAAAAGCATGCACCAGCGCACCCTAGCACTGCTTAGAGGGAACACTGATGGTATCATAGTGCTAAGAGAGCCAGTTTGGTGAAGGGGTTAGGAGTGCGGACTCTAATCTGGGAGAACCAAGTTTAACTCCCCATGCCTCCACATGCAGCTGCTGGTGTGACGTTGGGTCAGTTACGAGATCTTTCAGAGCTGTTCTCTAAAGGGCAGTTCTCAAGAGAGCTCTCTCAGCCCCACCTACCTCATACCGTGTCTGTTGTGGGGAAAGGAAGGGAGAGGAGATTGTAAGCCACTCTGAGACTCCTTTGGATAGTGAAGGGTGGGGTATAAATCCAATCTATTCTTCTTCTTCTTCTAATAAGCGCAAACCATAAGAAAACACAGAGGTATAGTCTAGTTTTATCAGTAAGAGATCCAGCAACCAGAACTGCACAGTGTGTTCCAATTACAGGTGAACTATTGCTCTATACAAAGGAATTAGAGTACTGAGGGCACAAGCAGCTCCTTGGGTCTGCCAGAGGATATGTGGGTGGTAGGTGGGAAGAAGGGTCTGGGGAAGGATTAGGTTCTGAAGCCTGGGAGAAGCTGGTGATTGAGGTAAAAGGATCTTATAAATAGTTGGAATCAGTGAATGAATTTTTAAAATTTGGCAACAGGCAGAGGAATGAAAGCCAGGTAGGATTAGGTGGTGAGAATATTTTAACAACTGAACCTGTTCCTACCCCTCTCCCCCCATCAAACCAGCCGATATTTCCCTGGAATTGCGTGCCTTGAAGAGTTGTCCTTACCTCCTTCGCTTGTCAGGACTCATGAAGAACTACAGTGTTTAAAGGAAGCTGTGGGTGCTGCAGCTGGGTTTTCTCCTGACAAAACCAGTGCATGTGCATTATTCTGTTGCATCAGTCATTTATAAACTTCCTTCTGGTACTTTCATTTCAATTCCAGTGAAAAAGGAACTAGAAAGAAGCAGAGCTCTTCGAAAGTAGAAGGAAGGTGTCTATTTATTTATACTTCCCTTTTTCCTCCTCCCGGTATCTTCTTACTACCTATATTATCAATGTAAGGGTGAATAAACACTAACTGTCAAGGTATAAATCAACTCTATCAGTGTTTCCCCTCTGACATGTCCTCATCAATCAAGTAGGGTGGCCTAGTGTGGATTTTATACAGATCCATGGAAAACAGAAAGATATAGCAGAGACCATAGTGCACAGCTTTCACAATGAGCTCTCTTTCATGCTTTTCCATATCTCAAGAACTGCTATCGTTAGCTGCAGAACTTTTTGAAATGAACAGGAGTGCAGACTGCTATGTACGTGGACCACCACTAGGGGTCCGCAGCAAAGACAGGAGCTTGGCTCCCCTGGACATTACGAGCATAGGATCCTAGTTCCCCCCAGCCCCAACCAATAACCACTTTGGCAGGAAATTCAAACCCTCCAATGGACTAGGGCTGTGCTGGGTGGGTGGGTATATAGTTGGCCTTGCAGGGCCGTTTTAGTTAGTCTTGTGTTAAGTACAATAAACGTGTACAAACTCATGTCATCGTCCGATTCCTCCATGCGGCGAACCCAGTACTTTTTACAGACCACATCTGCTTCTCTAGATAAGAAAGGATAGAACCAAAACCATGAAAAATTGGCTTTGATAGGTCCCTACCAAGATCACAGCTCAAGCTCCTTTCCCTCTCTTTCATCTTCTGAAAAACTAAAATAAAAAGAAGGTGAAGGAGTGATTGGATTTATACCCCACCCTTCACTCTGAGTCTCAGAGCGGCTTACAAACTCCTTTCCCTTCCCCTCCGCACAACAGACACCCTGTGAGGTAGGTGGGGCTGAGAGAGCTCTTTCGAGAACTGCTCTTTCAAGAACAGCTATGACAGAACTATGGCTTGCCCAAGGTCATCCAGCAGCTGCATGTGGAGGAGTGGGGGATCAAACCCAGTTCTCCCAGAGTAGAGTCTGCAGTAGGGATGTGCATTTGGTTCGTCCAAACCGAATGCACCCCTGAAAATGGCCCATTCGGACCCCTTTCAGGCTGTTGCAGGCCGATTCAGATTCTCTGATCTGAATCGGCCTGCTGCCGAATTGCCACTGAATTTCGGCGGCAATTCGGCCCCATTAAATCCTATGGGCCATTGAAGTAAATGGCGAAAACATAGGGTGTATTCTGGGGGCTGGAGGGAGGGGGGTTTGAGGGAGAGGCTCTAAACCTGCAGGGTAGCTGCTGGAGCCTCTCCCCAAGATACCAACCAAGTTTGACGAACATTGGACCAGGGGGTCCAATTCTACGGGCCCCCAAACAGGTTGCCCCTATCCCCTCCATTGTTCTCTATGGTGGGAAAAAGGCTGGTACAATGCTCTTTAAACTTGGTTGGTATCTTGGGGAGAGGCTCCAGCAAATACCCTGTGAGTTTGGAGTCTCTTCCTCAAGCCGCCTCCCCTCCAGCCCCCAGAATATACCCTATTTTTTTGCTATTTACTTCAATGGCCCATAGGATATAATGGGGCTGAAATTGACATTCGGCTGGCCAACTCCGCAATGGGCTTCTACTGATGAAACTGACATGCGGGAGTCTTACTGCCAGCCGAAATTGATTCTGCCTGATTCAGCTGAATGGGCCGAGTTATTATTATTATTTGCACACCCCTAGTCTGCACACTTAACCACTACACCAAAATGGCTCTCAGAGAATCTGGTGTGAGAAAAACCTATACTTGGATAAGAGCCCAGTCTTATAAATACTTCTTGTCTTTTCCATGGAAGAAGATCAGTGCAGAGTGCACAAAACATGATACTGATGAAGGATTTTGTGAAAAGGAGCTAAGGACATCTACCTCTCCTTTATTTACATGGTACACCTTTTATAGATGGATGAAGATGGGGCACACAATGAACATCTGGAAATATGTAGGTGAAAACCCTAGTAAATGTTTTGTCATACGTTTAAAAAGTTTTCTCACAGAGACTTCAGTCACAATTGCTTTATGTAATAGTCAAGGACTGATTCTGTACAGATAAAGTAAGATTGTGGCTATTGTTAAAGGCTCTAAAGAACCCGGTGGAACACCCAGCTTTTCCAAAAAAAACTTTGCAAGAATTTCTGCAATGTGCTAGCTGCAGACTTTTACCCAATTAAATGTTACTTTTTATTCCAAACTGCATTCCTCACACTTGGCTACTCCACAACAAACTAACCTACAGAGAGGAGATAAGCAAGGGGTGCCTAAACTGGGACCAGAAAGTGTGGTGGAATAGATGGACTGGAACTTAGGGTGGAAAGGAGGGAGTTCCTAACCTAGGTGCAGTGGTGAAGAACAGGCTGCTGTATGGCAAGCCAGTCCTAAAAGGGGAATGGATAAGATAAGCGAAGGTAAATGGCAAAAAAGACCCAGTGGTCTAATTTCAGGAATGAAAGCAAAATGGGAGAGAAGAACTCATACCCTGTCTTGGCTGGTGACTTTGTGCTTGTGTTTATGGAAGCTGGAAGAAGTCTGCTATTAACTATTTTTAATGCAGGATCTGTGATGGCAGTGGGCCATCAGGCCTTGGGACCTGGCTGCCCATTGGTGGACCTTTGGTTGTATTCTAACTGGTGCCATTTTAGGATCTGGGACTCCCTTGGTACAAGCCCAGGATCTGGGTGTGGCAGAAGGGGCCCCTGAATACCTAAGATGAATTTGATGGTGGGTGGTTGATTTAGATAGCATTCTTGACACAGATCTGCTGATAGTTCCCAGGATATGGGTAAATGGTCCTTCCTGGATTTATGGTTGTGTCATGGGGGTTTATGAAGAGAAATTCAAGAGCTTTGTTTATTACCCTGCTAATTTGAGTTGTTATTTCTAGTAAAAGGGTGTGAAGTACACTGGGGTTTCTAAGAAGCCATACTGATAACTTCCCATAGTATTCAGGAAACTAGGCTGCTCCCCACCAGGAGTGCTTTAATGGTTCATTATGTTACGCCAACAGCTTTATCTACAGCTGAGGCCAACTATATTTTAACGTAAGTTCTGACCAACTATACCAGGGTCGTGTCCAAACCCAGAGTCCCAGCAATTGAAATCACACGGGTGTTTTTCCAAAAGAAATAATTCTTTACTAAGCAATATTAAAGTCACACATACAAAAACATCAGTCTCTCAATTCACATACACTCAAGGTTCCTTTAGAATTACAGAAAGAATATTAAGATAGTTTCTTATTTACTTGGAGGTAGGAAGGTAGCTATTTAGATTCATACTCGCCTGTTCCAGAAGCCTTGTCTGTTGCAATGGAGAAATAAAGGGACATAGAATATTGTCTAGAAGTTTTACTTGCATCACACTGTTCCAGAACCAGCCGGTCTAGTGTGTGTGCGTGCGTGCGTGTGAGGGGATCTCTTTGGCTGCGCATCCCAAAAAGATCCGGTAAAGACAAAGAGTTTTAAAGCATGAAAAAAAGGGGGGGGGGTAACAGAGTGTGGCCAGCCAGAAGACTTGCAGCATGGTGTCTGCTTGGATGGTGAAATGTGGCTAGCCCAGCTCTTAAAGCATGGTCTTTGCGTTTTATAGTTGAAACTCCAGGTGGGTGGCATCTTGCCACACTGTAATTCTACCTACTTACAAGTCCATCCCATGAACTACCTGATTGGTGAATGTGCAAAAAGGGCCGGTGTTCTATAGGTTGGGCCAATATTTGAAATACTATACTCTTTCTCATGGAATACCATTTGGCCATGTGTGAAATCTCATCCTCAGGACATCTCTTTGTTGTGGAGATGAATCTTGGCCTCACCAGGCTGCCAAGGCATTGTAAACAGGAAACTGCAATTCAGATGTAGATCTAGTCCGTGTTCTCCATGACATCTCGTCTTTGCAGTAATGGTGGAATTTCTTCTCTGGGTTGTTGTTTTCTGCTAACAATGGCTAACATGTGCTTCTCCTTCCTATGATGCACTCTGAGCTGAATGTGTGCAAGCTTCATTAACATGAAATGCAGGCTTCATTAACATGAAATGTGAAATCTCTCTCTCACAGTAGGTGATGCAAACAGCTTTCTCTAGGCTCATGGTATAAAAGTGTGTGCACAGTCTATTTGTTGCTTGTGTAGCAGATATAAAATCATAAATTAGTTCATTTCCCAACAATTCATTGATTAACTTTTAATATTACACCAGATGCTTTCCCCCTCACTTAAGACACCTTAAGGCCAAAAGATTTGGGAGACTATTTTCTCCAAGCCTCTGGCATCAGAAGGCCAGAGAATCTTGGTGTGTCTCTGTTGGGGGGTGGCAGTCCACACAACATACAGTGGTGCTGTCCATGCACTGAAACATTTTTTGTGTTGGCAATGTTGCTATGTTCTTTGTAGTTTAAAATAAAAACAGACTGAAGAAACACATAATGAACGTATATGTTTCCTGTTTTCAGAGTCCTTAGTTTCCACATCTTTTTAGCTGAGCAAGAACAATAGTTTGTGGGTTGAAAGGTGCTCCTTTTGGGGACTCTTGCCTGAAAGACTATAAGTACAGTTCCTTCTATTTTGTACCAACTTCCTTTCAATACAAGATCATCTAAAGGCTTCATATGGAACAGTTTCAGTTTTATTTGCCTAATTACATGGATTTAGACAAATGTAATTCATCCTGGACCTAGGTGAATTTAACCTCAAATGAGAACTTCATGATACTTTTTTTTCCCTTGATACATCTGTGGGTCAGATTGGCAGGCATTTTCTAGGAGTCTGTGGCTCTGTGATATGTGGGGGTCCAATTTAAATTGAGATTTAAGCCATTCCCTTTGCCATTTTCTCAACCTGAAATGGTTGTAAGGGGGCTATTAGTTCTGATGAAACTCCATGTGTACTGATGGCATA